TACTTCAAGAATTTTTTTCATTTCGGGGGTGTGTTTAACCCTCTTGGACGGGGCCGAAGAGATTTGCCTTGATACAGAATATACAGTATAGCTATATGCTTTCACGTAAAGGCACATCAGAAACCCAAAAAACATTATCACGATTTCGGTACGCTACTGACCATTCGGGTATTTCCGGAAAAAAAGCTGCTGACTTTGGCTGCTAACTTCACACCGGTATGAAATAGAATAATTCTTAACTCTGAACCTCATCTATTCATATATAATTTTCACTTTGGTGCGATACATGATACACTTTTCCACTTTCACCAAAGTGGAAATAGGTACACTTTAAGAAAAAAATAAGCGAAGTTTAGAATTAGGAATAAGTCCACTTCTTTTTCTTCTCTTTTTTTTATGGTATTTGCTTCCCTTCGGCGCGGTAGACCAGAATTAGTCCACTTATTTATCTCGTAAAAACACCAACTTGGTTTGTGAAACTTGCGCCGAGTGGAGTGTTGCCACATTCCACACAACAAATTTCTGAAATTTATCGAATGTAGGTACTATGGATAAATTTGACACTTGAAGTTTTCTTTGAAATCAACTGGTAAAACAAAATTATATGTGGGAAATACACCAGATAACTTTTGGCGGAATTAACTCAATCTGGGTGTCAACACTGTCAACAAAACACAACCAGAGTTTTTCAAGGTTCCAGGTCACGTCACGTGATTTTTTTAACTTCATTGAATTTGCGCAATCGCAATATGGTCTTCCTCTGCATCTGAATACGTTTTCCGTGAACCATTTGCTCTGTCTGCTGATCTCCATTTTCGACTTGGGACTGTTGGTAATAGTATTTCCAAAATGTCTTTGCTTTCTGTGCGATTAGCAACAACTGTTGCAAGAAACTTGCCTAAAAATGTTCAGGTAGGGGAATATGTATACTATTCTATGATATTAATATTTTAGCTTTTTAGAATTATGTCGACCTCTTTTACCCATTATGACATAATCAATTGCTGTATCAAATCTCGGTTTTGAAAATATTGTATGTTTAATGATCAATATTTATTTGAAAGTATCCTGAATTCACAATGGTTTTTGGATGACTCTCAAATATTGTATTGAGAATTAAAATAATGGAATTTGTTACATAATAATTATCATCAACCATACATGTTTCCATTGAGATAATTTGCATATACTACATCCAATTAATTTTGTTTTATCTATCAATTAATTGTAGTTAGATTTCTAATGTTGGTATATTTTTAGGTTATTGGAACTACAATTCCTGCGGTCTCTGCTGGAGCTCGGAAAATCCATGCTTCTACTCAGAATCGTGGAACTGAAATTTCATCCATCCTTGAGGAGCGTATTTTTGGTTCTGCTCCTCAGGCCGATCTAGATGAAACGGGCAGAGTCCTGAGTATTGGTGATGGAATTGCTCGTGTTTATGGACTGAAAAATATTCAAGCTGATGAGATGGTTGAGTTTTCATCTGGGCTGAAGGTGAGTTAATGATTGGAATCATATCTAAAATATCTTCTTGGGCAATGCCTTTTTTATATACTTGGTATTTCTCATATACCTTATATATACTTGGTATTTCTCATTGTGCTTCCAATTATATAAGGTATAAATTTTTTACAATTTCATTAAAACTCCTTTCTCTTCTCAAAGACCTAAGGTCAAAGTAAAACGCTGAGACTACACTTGCAATCCCTTGGTAATCATGTATATTACTCATCCAAACATGACAGTTTACATATTTCTGATTATGTAAGAATGAGAAAAGAACTGATTTGTGTAGTTATTTTGATATTAAATGGGTAAATAATAAGGACTTATCAATCACATATCAACTTATGTAATCATTTATAACTATAAAGAGCTGGGCTACATTTTTTATGATTTATTGTACCTCTTTCACATAAGAAAAGGTAGCAAAATTCTTATGATGAGATAATATAAATGTAAGAAGTTCACATATAGAGAACACATACTGGGTGTTGACTTTTCTATAAATCTTTCATGTGGTGAGAAACCAATTTTACATCAGAGATGAAAGTCAATTTCTGTTTTAGTATTGATTTTGTATCACTACCAAAATCTCATCAGTGCCAGTGGAATGAAAAAATTAATTCATTTTTATATGTTTCATAGTTGTAATTATCATACTCCAACAGAAACATTCTTCCACACATCAGAATTTTAATACTCTTCTTGATGTATATTTTGCTATACAGTGTAGCACCAACCAAGTTTGAGCCATTACAGGAAAGCTAAAACTAATTCTATACAACTAAATTCGAACTTTGATATTTATTGAGACAACCGGCTTTCACTTCAGTAGTGAGGGTCATACTTTGATAAATTCTCATTAATACTTATTCGTTTTAATTTATTGTATAATAATCCCTAATTGTTATGGTAATACACAGTTGTCCTAGTTGCATAAGTTGCTACTTGTAAATATTATGTAAAGAGTAAACAAAGGGCTTTTTGGAATGGAACATTTGTTACAGATCATAAATCTCATTCTCATACTTTACGATCTCTAGACTTTTGAAGGCATTCAACAATCTGTTAGTATATTATGTGAAATACATTTTTATGGAGAAATAAATTCTTTCTTTTTAGCTTTGGGATGCATTACTTTCCACAATTTGAAAAGTAAACAAAGTTGAATGGATAGAGAAATATCTGAAGTGTAATAAAGGGCAAACTGAAAAGTTCATCCCGAAAAGTAACTGTAATATAACCAGTGAAAATTCCAATTAGTCAGAAACATGTCATATTCCTGAATTTTATCTATTCTGAATTTTGTCTACAAACAAAAACAATGGAATTTTTATATTTGACTTTCTTTAGATGGTTGATGTTCTGGAAAATTATTCCTTTCAATTTTCTAACCCAAACAAAATTCACTTTTGAACAATGCCTCAATTGCAAATCCCTGTATTTCCTTTAACACACGAATGTCATCTGTAGATGGTTAACGTTTTGGAAAATATCTTTTATCTTTTTCATCATTCAACAAAATTCACTTTTAAACTATGCCACTATTGCAAAAATGCCTCTTTTAACACACATGTATCAAAAGAAATATAGTCATGAATTTTGAGAATTTTTTTGGATTTGGAAAACCAAAAAGGATAATTTTTTGAAATGCCAAGAATCTAGATGAAGCTAAGTATATTAATTTAATTATTTTCATTGATTATTCATTTTGTAGGTAAAAGTCATGAATGCGACAATTTACTGACTTGAATTTCATTAGTTCGGACTTCCAATGTTATGATTCTACTATGAATCAAAATCTATGAAAGAACAAATAAAATTATAATAAATAGCTGAAATTGTGATGCACTATTTGGAACCTTTGGTGTAGTAATGAATATTACTGGAGTTTTTTCCCAACACCAAACTGTTATTTTAACATCTGGGCACGTGTTTCCATCACCAAGTGATCATCTACAAGGGCAGATCAAACATAGGAAGAACAAAACTCCTGTAATTTTAAATAACTGAAATATCATTTATATTGAGCAATAAAATGTGAATATTACTGGAGTTCTATCCTAACACCATACCATTATTTTCAACACCTCGACACGTGTTTCAATAACCAAGTGATCATCTTCAAGTTAGTTTAGTTTAATGTTCCTCTTGAAGATGATCACTTGGTTATTGAAACACGTGTTGAGGTGTTGAAAATAATGGTTTGGTGTTAGGATAGAACTCCAGTAATATTCATTTCTACACCAAAGGTTTCAAACAGTGCATCACAAGTAATAAAATATGAAATGAAAATACAATAAACTCCCGCCAAACAAGCAACTCCCGCCAAACGGCCAACTCCTGTTAAACCGGTGAAGCGGAGAGAGGGGATTGGTGAAAGTGCTTGAATGACCAATAGTCATCATTCGGAGGAGTAGTCCAGTCATCACCCGAAGGCGATTGTCAATACTAACAATCAAAACATCATGAAGTAACTTGGTTTGAAAACTTTTTTCTTTCAGGTGTATTCTTTTTCTGTAGTTATTTTCATTTTCTATTGTTACGATATTTACTTGGGGTTCGTTTTTTAAAACAACAACACTAATAATACTTAGACAACTTTTATTTACTTAATACACAACTACTGCACTGATTATAATTCACTTAGAATACTCGCTTGCTTGAGACTTCGAACACTCTCGTACTAATCATCTTGCCGAAGGAACTCGCTCTTTTATAGTAAGATCGATGCATCTAGAATTTCTAGAAAGTCCATATCCATCGCGATGCTTCGCTCTCAGGATCGACGTTCGAATTCTTCGCCTAGGGAGGCAACGCGCGTGTGACGTCATGCTCAGGTAGACGTCCCTTCGTCGAATTGGGTGACTGTAGTCAGCTGCGGCGCTAGGGGTTTTTTAACATTATCCCCCTCTCAAATTTGATCGTCCCGATCAAACAATATGTCGTCGTCCCCATTGTATCGTTTGAGTCTTTCTAGGTGAACGACCTTCATTTTTGCTCTGGGACTACGTTGAATCCTATACACCACGTCATTTATTCTCTTTACTATCGTGTAGGATCCTTCCCAAGATGGTGTTAATTTGGGGGAAATTCCTTTTCTACGACGAGGGTTGTACAGCCACACTCGATCTCCTTCTTTGAATCCACCAGTATTTGCCTTGAGATCGTATCGAGCCTTCATCCTGTCACTAGTCATCTTTAATCTTTTTCTAGCAATTTTGTGGATCCTTGTCAAGCTATCTCGCAGTTCGTCTGTGTAATCTTGCACCTCTTTATTTTCAGCAATTGGTGATCCGAACACCAAGTCACAGGGCAAGCGAAGATCTCTTCCGAATATGATACTGGCTGGGGTGAGCTTTGTGGAATCGTGCACGGCTGCTCGGTAGGCCATCAAGAATAGTTGAAGATTTCGATCCCAGTCCTTTGATGCTCTTCTACTACTTTGGAAAGATGTTCTTCCATAGTCCTGTTGAACCTCTCAACCATGCCATCGGACTGTGGGTGGAGGGCAGTTGTTCTGGTTTTTCTGATTCCCATCAATTCACAGACTTTCTTGAATAAATTCGACTCAAAATTTCTTCCTTGATCGGAATGTAACTCCATTGGCACACCAAACCTTGAACACATGTTATCCACCAGAGCTCTTGCAACTGTGGATGCTTCTTGATTAGGCAAGGCGTAGGCTTCAACCCATTTACTGAAGTAGTCCATGGCAACTAGGATGTATTTGTTGCCATCATTCGTCATCGGAAATGGTCTGGCTACATCGATGGCGATCCGTTCGAAGGGAGCACCAACGTTGTATTGTTTCATCTCACCTCTGGATCTTGTTCTAGGACCTTTGCTGGCTTCGCATCTTGGGCATCTTCGGCACCATCACTCTACACCTTCTCGACACTGAACCCAGTAAAACCTTTGTCGTATTTTATCCAAGGTTTTGTTAACTCCTAGATGTCCTCCCGATTTACCACCATGGATCTCTTCCAAGACGCCACTTATTCTTGACATAGGCACAACTAGTTGGGAAATTACTTTCTTGCCATCGGCCGATTCCCAAGCCCTCTTCAGTAGACCATTCTCAACCATCAAGGAATCCCATTGTGCCCACAATGCCTTGAACGTTGGTGATCGATCAGAGATGTCCTTCCAGGTGGGTCTTTCTGCTCCACTTTCCTTCCATTTCAAAAATTCTGCAACGTTTGGATCACCCTCTTGATCTTGTCTCATTTTTGCTGTGGTCCAATTATCGTCTGACATCACTCTCACTTGGTTGATTCCTTCGCGTCGTTCAATTCGCTCACAGAGTTTACAAACATCCGAACAAGGTCTTCTGGACAAGGCATCTGCGTTATTATGCAGTCGTCCTGGTCGATGTTTTATCTTGAAGTGATACTGGTTCAGCTTCTCAATCCACCTTGCTACTTGTCCTTCAGGAGTCTTCATTTCGAGTAACCACTTCAGAGCTGCATGATCTGTTCTGATAAGGAACTCTCTTCCATACAGATATTTGTGGAAGTGATCTACAGCCTTGATAATTGCCAGTAGTTCCTTTCTGGTTACGCAATAATTCCTTTCTGGCTTGGTCAGTACTTTGCTGAAGAACTCAATTACGTTTTCCTGACCGTCCTGTTCTTGTGATAGTACGGTTCCTATACTATTATTATTGGCATCTGTGTCCAGGACGAACAGGCCTCGTCGACGTGCGAAACTTAAAATGGGGCTGGAACATAGAGCAACTTTCAGTTTCCCAAATGCTCGTACACTTTCGTTGGACCAGACGAATTCGACTCGGTCTTCTGTCAACTTATGAAGAGGTGCCGCAATATCTGCAAATCCTTCCACGAACCGACGATAGTAGGTGCAGAGACCTAGGAAGCCTCACTTCATGTTTGTCTTTAGGTCTCGGCCAGTCTCTGATTGCCTGTATCTTTCTTTCGTTTGTTTAGATGCCGTCTGATGACACTCTGTGACCTAGAAAATCCACTTCTTTCTGGAACAGTGAGCATTTCTGAAGATTCAGTTTGAGGTTGGCATTCCTGAATCGTTGAAAGACTTCCCGCAAATTATACAGATGTTCTTCAAATGTCTTTCCCATGACCAAAACGTCGTCGAGGTATACGAGGCAAGTTTTCCAAGTAAGCCCTCGCAGGACCAGCTCCATCAGTCTTTCGAATGTGGCTGGAGCATTGCACAATCCAAACGGCATAACGGTGAACTGGTAAAGTCCGCTCCCAGTCGAAAATGCAGTCTTCTCCTTATCGTCCTCATGTATGCCCACTTGCCAATATCCACTCTTCAGGTCTAGTGTTGAGAACCAACGTGAACCTGCCAAAGTTGTTAATGTGTCGTCTATTCTTGGTAAAGGGTAGCTATCTTTCTTAGTAACATCGTTCAATTTCCTGTAATCTACACAGAATCTCGTAGATCCATCCTTCTTGGAGACCAATACAACAGGTGCGGACCAAGGGCTCGACGATTCCTCAATCACACCATCTCTCATCATCTTGCCAACAAGCTCTTCCACCTCTTGCTGCTTGGCAAACGGAACTCTCCTTGGGGGTTGTCGAATCGGGTGGGCTTGGCCAGTATCAATTCCGTGTTTAACCAGGTTAGTTCTTCCGAATGTTGTCGAATCAAATATATCACTTTCTTTCTTGATGAAGTTTTTGACAGCTTTAAGGTCTTCTCCTGATAAGTGTTTAAGTGATTTTTCAAGAGTTATCATAACACTTTCTGAGGCTGCCTTTATTTCCTGGTGGTCGTTTGAATCACAGTTCGCCACCCATGTGAGTGGTTCACAGGTTCCTATGACATCACCTTCTTTAACGGTTACTGCTTCAGGATATACATTGGCAACTCTCACAGGGATGGTTTGTTTCGTTTTTACTAAGGCTCGTGCAAAAACTAATTTGCTGGGGGATTCCTCACATGACTGGACTATTCCAACATAGCACCCGGGGTCTTCATCAGCGATAGCGTAAACTACTTTCTCCGAAAAACCAGGAATTCGCGCAGTATTTACTAAGCGCAGTTTCACAGGTATTGTCCTTTCTGCTGGAGTGGTAAGGACAAATTCCTCTCCTCCAAAATTCATAATCTTCTCTTCGTTGTCGAATGAAAAGCCGTACTCACTGATCAAATCCATTCCTAGTATGAATTCATCTTCTATGTCTGCAACGTACACTGTATCAGTAATGGTGAGTCGTCCAAGAATCAGTGTTATTTCAGCTTCTCCTCGAATAGGTGCGTTTTCACCAGTGACTGTTCGAAGCACGAAATTGGAAGAAGTAGGCTTCACGCTTTCAGGTCGAAGTATGTCGCTGCGTACCAAGGAAACTGCAGCCCCGGTGTCTATGGTGCATATCACGTCCATTTTATTCAATTTTCCTGATATGGTTAGGCTGTCGGTTGTTCGTTTTAGCCTGTTAACTTGAATGACCCTGGGGGCTCTGTTATTATTAGCCAGCATGCGCCCCGATATGCTGGCTAATTCTAGTTTTCCAGACGCCAATTTTAGGACTCGCTGGATGACTTTGTCCTCACAGGTGATTGTGTACGTGACGACACCCTCGCAGGTGAGTTGGATCTTGGTGACATTCTCACTCTGCAATCTTTAAAGAGATGTCCGGGCTTCCCGCACCTATAGCATGTCCTCTTCTTCTGGGTGCTGATTCCACTTATCATTAATTTGATTTCCTCTAGAACCTTCTCGATTAAACCAGTCGCTGTGCCGGATCGTTGTTCGGGTTCTTCTATAGATACTGCCCGCACTTTCGGTCTGGAAGTGTTGAAGGCCGCCTCTACTTCTAACGAACGTACCAAGGCGTCGCTACTCCTCTTAAAGTTTGTCAATCGCAAAGTTCTTTGGATTTCTGGGTCTCTTAAACCATCTATAAATAGCTGCACCACTAGCTGCTCCTTGAAATCTCCAGGTGCTTCTGGATAAGCCAGCTGAATCAGGCGTCTCAATGCTTCGCTCTCAGGATCGACGTTCGAATTCTTTTCGAGACTTCCAGTTACCGCCTAGGGAGGCAACGCGCGTGTGACGTCATGCTCAGGTAGACGTCCCTTCGTCGAATTGGGTGACTGTAGTCAGCTGCGGCGCTAGGGGTTTTGTAACACTATCTTGATTATTTTATTCGTTTTATTGTATTTTCATTTCACGTTATATTGCTTAATAGTGTACCTCAATTCTGTTATGTAAGCATATGTAAAAATCACTGTAAATATTTAAAAATTGTACACTGGCTGAAGGACTTCGGTCGATTATTATTATTATAATAGATATTTTAGCATTATAATTTTGTTCTTTTATAGATTTCGAATTATGTTAGGCAATGGAAGTCAACTAATGAAATTCACCAAGAAACATTGTCAACCACTTTCTAACAAACAAATTTACCGACTTATTGGATTCTTTATTGATTTATGTTATGTAGTAACATTTCGGGATGAATTTTTCATCACACTTCAGCAGATTATCTATCGATTGTACATTATTTATTTTTCAGATTGTGGATGGTTATACACCCAAAAGTCAGTAAAAAAATATGTTGTAACGTTTCAGCAATTCTCATTTAGTCAGTGACCTGTGGCCAATCTCTGAAGCATGTTAAGTGACTCCAGACTTTTTCAGTTTATGAAACAGAAACAGGTTTTTATAGTGGGCAACGTACTTTTTGTTGGATACTTTTCCAAGTTTCCTACATCTCCTGTTCCAAAAAAAATAGGATGATGAAAAACAATAATGTATTGGCAGAGTTGATTCTTGAGCGGTTCACAAATATTTTATGTGACCAAACTGATCTACTCGAGAAAATATGTTTCCAGACATTCAAAGACATATGATCCCAAAGAATTTGTTAATGAAGCTCAGTAATGAATGTTATTCCTAAATATCTGTCTCAGAGACAAACTATTCAATGATTTTCCAAAGTAATTTATTGTCTCCCTATGTCTGGTATATCATCTATTTAATTTGAAATAATGGAAATGCTTCAAAATGAAAATGGGTGTTTTGGATAAAGTAGATTTTTTATCAAAAAACACTTTTTTTTGGATTTCTGAATGAAAAAGTTCTCCTACTTGTCCTCTCAATTTAAAAACTCATTTTCAATTCATAAAGATGTAACTTAGAAAGGATTAACCTCTAATATTCGCATTGAAACTTTTTAATATTTTATTTTTTGAGAATATAGGTCAAGTGATATACATTTCATGAATTATCCTATAGAAGATAAAGTATGGTTTGATAAGCACCGTCAAATTTTTTTTTCAGGGTATGGCTCTCAACTTGGAACCAGATAACGTGGGTGTTGTCGTTTTTGGTAATGACAAACTTATTAAAGAGGGTGACATTGTGAAGAGAACAGGTGCCATTGTAGATGTTCCTGTTGGTGATCAAATTTTGGGACGTGTTGTTGATGCTCTAGGTAAACAGATCATTTCATTTTATTTTTGAAAATCAATATATTATAGATGTGAATTGAAGAAATGGGTTATATTTTTTAGGAGTGATTAATTTTTGGGAAAGAAAGTTTTTGGCTTTCTACTACTCCATCTTGATACAAAAAGAAGGATGAGGGAATCTTCCAAAGAAAGGAAGGAAGTAACTCTATACATGGATGTGTAGATGATGCAAAGAAGTAACTTTCAGACACAAACTGAAAGAAAGTCCTCTTGAAACAGCTACTTTCATATAAACATTGAATTATACGAAAGAAAAAATTCTTTCGAAACAAATACTTCTATATGAACACTGAATTATACAGAAGATACTTTTCTCTACTCAGTTTGTGTAAAAAATCGCAATTCATGAATGAAGTGTGTGTATTTTCTATAATGTTATCCAATTTGGTACTGAAGAGCCTTAGGGCAAGTGTCTTAAGGCGAAACATCGGTGTATACCAGTGAGGATGGCAGTGTTCTATGTAAGTGCAATTTGTTACCATTCATTTAAAGTAGAACTCATGTGAATGATATCTGAATTTTATTCCACAACGAATGTTTGAAATACAAACTAAGTAGAGAAAAGTATCTTCTGTATAATTTAGTGTTCAAAGTGTATTTGTTTCGAAAGAATTTTTTCTTTCGTATAATTCAATGTTTATATGAAAGTAGCTGTTTCAAGAGGACTTTCTTTCAGTTTGTGTCTAAAAGTAACTTCTTTGCATGATCTACACATCCATGTAGAGTTACTTCCTTCCTTTCTTTGGAAGATTCCCTCATCCTTCTTTTTGTATCAAGATGGAGTAGTAGAAAGCCAAAAACTTTCTTACCCAAAAATTATAGATGTGTTGGACATTGCTGAAATAAGCTTAGAATATTCTCCAACAAAAATTATTTTATAGCTGTAGAAAATCGATGCAAAATATTTTATTAATAATGCTGTTGACTCCTTTGAGTGCAAAAATAGGTTCACTTCTCTTGGCAATTAGTTTGGTGAGAGACGTGCAAATATTTTTTTATTAGGGAATTGAAAATACTGACAATGGCAGGTCTCTATGTGTACGAATTAGTTATCTTTGTGTGTAAGAATATGAGCAAATTAACTTCCATTCTTCTATTTTTACTGCTTACAATTGACGTCTGACAATTTCATTTACGGATCCTTACTTTTTAACAAGTAAAATAAATGTAATTATTATTATTACTATTACTCACTGAGATTGTCAGAGATTGACTGGTGCCTAGAAGAACTTTGATACATTATCCAGAAGACGCTGATGCTGTTCCTAGAGGGGCTGCTGGTTATCAGGAAAAATAATTTTTTCACTGAGTAGATATCATACAGTTGACTTATTCTTTACTACAAAAAGAAGACATTTCTCTTTTTTGCAAAGTTTTTGAATATATTGTTGGATTGCACAAGTAGATGATAATAACCTGGTTTTTTCACTTTTTTTAGACCTAACAAAAGCATTCAATACTGTTTTTTCCAAATTTTCATTTAAAATATTACTAGTAATGGGCTTTCCCAATATTATGTTGTGTCGGATAGAATCATATATGGGAACTGTAGTTCAGTGGTTAAATGTAATACAATTACATCAGTTCCTTATGATGTGAAACTAGGTGTTCCACAAGGATCTGTTCTAGGTCTATTGTTATTCTTGATTTTTATCAATGACTTGCCAGAATTCATATCATATTGTCATATAACTATGTATGCTGACAATACTACAATCACTGTTTTTGAAAAAAAACGATAATTTGTTATCAATGAAAATGATTTAGTTATTGATGAATTTACTAGTTGGTGTCCATGTAACAAACTGATTTTAAATAAATCTAAGTAAGTATTGATAAAATCATTTGTTGTAATTTATTCACTATGAATGACATAAAAATATCAAAAGAAGTCAATTTTTTTTTTGAGAAACAAAAGCTGTATTAATATTCCTGGAATAAAAATATTTGGTGACCAAACAAAGAAACAAAGGGATTATTTTATGAGTGTGAAGAATCTGCTACAGAATTATCTAAATAAAGGGGAAGGGAAATCTATTAAATATTTAAACAATGTTTCTACTTTGATTGATGGCAACCCTCAATTTAAAAACTAGTAGAGAGCCCTAATATACCAGTAAAAGTGACATATTATATCTGAAGATTGCAAGTTTCATTGCTCACAAAGATGAACTAATTTCAGAGATATTCTGTTATCAACCACTTGTAGTAATATTGAGCGAAGCAAGTTGTACAACCGATATTGAGCAAACTGAATTACACATACAGGTGTATTCTGTTGTTTGATGTGATTCTAATAGCAGACATACCGGTGGTGTATTAATTAACGTAAAAGATGGGAGTGCAGTTTTTAGTAAAACACTACATTAAACAACTAAATTACTGGTGTCAGTTCATAATAGTGGCGTACAAAATTCTATGGGTGTTAATTTTTATGTACATAAAAATGTGTCAGGTGAATGTGAAAAATGCAAGAATGAAAAAGAAAAAATAAGTTGTGACAGCTGTCATGCAGTTTTGCATGCAACTGATAACAATACAAATTTAGTAGCTTCCGAAGTGCGGGCAGATCCCTGATTTTCTTTTGTCCTGAATGTCGAGCATTCAAGAGAGTTTCATTGCTGCTCAGACAAATTGAGGATATTAGGGATGAAGTTAAAAATTTGAAGAAGGAAGTTGATACTCTGAAACAAAACAATAAAATCATGAAGGATGAACTAAGTAGTATCAGAAATAATGAAGAGAAAGTTGAAATGGAAGAATTTATGAATGAAATGGAAGAAAGAACACATTTGAGAAGCTATTCTCACATGTAGATGGAAATATTATGAATTTTATTGAGAGTCTGAAAGTTTGAGGGAGGAAAAAGCCGTCTGTTGAAAGTTGAACCAGATTCAAATTAAACTGTAAAACAAGTATTAAAAAACCATAATAAATTTACTGATTAAGTTTCCTCAGAGTATACTCTGATCAAACAGCTAAGCAAAGGAATTACTACAAACAATTAAAAGTAAAACTGAACTCTCTTATTAATGCAGGTCATGACTCAACATGTATAAATGTATTCCAAAAATTGTCGTAAAACAGAATGTACAACATGAGTCAAAAAACTGAACTCTACTTAATTATAATATAAGCGAGACATAGTATAATTAAATATTGAAAGTTGATTAGTAAATTAGCAAATTTATTAAACAGATTTTTAAATAAATTCTCAAGTAATAGCAGATGTTTTCTGTTAAAGCGATTCTGCTTAGCGAATCCAGAACAACAACTGATATCAACGACTTTGAATTGTAAAATTAGTATTTACACACTTGTTAGATGTGATTGAGACTCTAGAAACACGGGAGGTGTTGTTATTTACTTACAAACGGGGAATCCAATTCGTACATTATAAAACATTTATTCACAGAAATAATTATTGATGTAAGTTTATCAAAATTACATATTGTAGATTAAAGTAGGTAATGGGCAGTCTTAAGCACTCGCCAAGTGCAAATCATGCTACATTCTTGGATCATCTGGAAAACATTTGTGAAGAAATGTTTCGTAAAAACCATCACACACTGTTAGTCTTTGATTTTAATTAAAATAGAAGAACACATATGGTATATCTTAGAAAGTAACAATTTTTACAAGAATTACTAATAACAGTAAGGCCTCAATTGATTATGTATTGACTAATTGGGATAGCACTGTAGCAATTGTTTTGGATGAACCTTAACTCACGTACCACCTTTTAATATCTGATGAATATTTTTATGATTACATCAACTTGAAATTTTTGTAATAAACTATGACCACGCTCCATATTACCCACATAAAAAACTATACATTTATTTTCACTCGAATTACGACTATACCCCAATACTCGAATATGTCAAACTAAACTGGACTAGACTAGACCAATATATCTAAAAAGGACTTTTCCTAAGCGCATTCACATTAGTGAATTATTATGTTTGCACATGCATTTCTTCTTTTATGATCATTATTGTATAGGTATTAGTTTATTATTATGGTATCACACACAAGCTTCACTGATTTATCATGTTTATTTTCTATTCTATTTCTATCTCCTCTGTAGGGGGGTACAAATGGAACGGTAAGTTCTCAAAATTGCCGATGGTGGGTCCAAGAAAATCCCAATTTCACAGTTGAATGTGGTGATCAGTATTCCTTTAAAACTAATGTATGGTGTGGGATACTTAACGACCAAATAATTGGGCCATTTTTCTTTAGGAAAAATGTATCATCCGTCGCTTATCTCAACCTTTTGAATAATGAGGTTAGTGAAGTTTTAGATAGTATGCCTTTAAATATTAAATACGACCTATAGTATCAGCTTGATGGCGCACCAATACATCACACGGTTGCTGTAAAACAGTCCCTCTAACGAATGTTCCGAGGCAAAGTTATTGGACATAACAGGGAACATTATTGGCCACCTAAATCACCCGACTTGACGCCTTTAGACTTTTTCTTGCGGGGTTACCTGAAACAAAAAGTGTACCGAAGTAGACTCATGGGCGCTACATTGGATTATTCATGTTTTGCATACAACCAAATCTTACCTTTTCAATTATGTATCATACGTTAACATTTTTTTTCGAAAAATTGGAGATATTGAAAATAATTCATTCTTATCATAATAGCCTTTTACTTTGATATTTCTGAATTTGACCTTCAATTTGTTACACTCAATGACATTTTGTTATTGTACAAGTCATTGAATTTTTGTCGAAAAATTGCTTTTACGAATGAAGAAAAAAGAAATATAATACAAATTTATTACAAATACGATAGAAACAGTGTTAGGACATAGGAAATGTATTTGAAAACTTGTATCCCGAAAAACGATAACCACATCGAACTATGTTCAAGTTATTGAATCAAAATCTCACCGAGTTTGGTGAGTATGTGGAGTATGTAGCAGTGAAAAAGTGGCAACGTGGAAGTGCAATTTATTTTCGAATCCTTCGAAAAATGAAACCAGAAAAAAATAAAAACCATTTTCCAAAATTTCTGTTTTTTCCGGATATCTCCATGTATATTCGGAATTTCAGAAATTTCCCAATGGCATATTGTTAGTCAGGTAAATGCGCAACTTTTTCACTAATTCAATCATCTTCGTATCTCTCATAGTTTCCGAGATCCTAATGGTGAATTTGAAACACCCTGTATATGATTCAAGTTCAAACCTATACATTTTTCCAATCCGCCTTCACTTGCCAGAAGCAACAGTTCTGAAATTTTTGCTGTCTTGTAAGTATTATCAGAGAGCCTATAAAAATTCAATCTGTTTGACTTTCGTGTTGAGAACTTTGTCTTTTTCATTGAGTTGATATTGGCCTACTATCACAATTTTTTGTGTGTCTATATAAACTGTTCTTTTTATAAAACCCTAAACAATGGGGACAGGGAAGAAACTCACTGCTACATAATAGTATTCCTGATTCAACCTGCCTCACTGGCCTTAGTTGCAAAGTAGATCGATTTTTTACATAATTTCCTCTTTATCCCAAAACACTCAAAGCCTGGCGCATTTCTTTTGAGTTGAACTTATATTTAATTTAGGTGCCAAGTACTCAGATGACTGGAGAAATGTGAAAAATCTTTGTCACAAAAAAAACAAAATGTCATTTTGTCTTCATAATTTTCTATCGACTTTTTTGGGAAATTTTTACCTTTCACAATCTGAAAAATATGAAAATTATAATGGAGAACTTTATACAAGTGTAGAAAGGGCAAACTTTTCAGTTTACTCCGATGAGTTACTGCGTAAAATCAAAGTATTTTTCACAAAGAAAAATGTTATATTATCAGTAACTTGTATTCAAAAATTTTGCCTACCAATAAATTTGCTAAGAAATAATGCAATACTTATCTTGACTTTTCGAAAGCCAAAATTCAATGAGCCTCACTCTAAGAGACGTAAGCTAAAAGAATCAGCATATATTCTAATTTCGAAAAGCTCCTTAGAAATAGACTGTACTTGGTTACCCATCTTGAAGGAAAATTCGGATAGTGGCGAAATGGCACTATATCGGAGAGCACCTTGTATTACATCATATGTTTCAGTTGTCAATCAACAACATTGACATAATTTCACATTTCAAAACTCCTTTGACATCCGTCGAAGAAGTTAAGAAACAAATAATCAGCAAAGGAATAACTGCAAATAAGTTTGAATTTTTTGTCCATTTCTGAAGACGGAGGCGGATGTTAGTCTCCGAAACGTTAAGTATTGTATTAAAACCATCATGAATCACTTTTATCTGTGTCATAAATCGTCATCATAATCCGTTGCGTAGTTTTTAAGGTATAAGCATACATAGGGACCAACAGCGGGAAGCGACTTTGTTTTATACTATGTAGTGATTAAATCCTTGCATATTGAAATTCTGTCTTTAGAAATATTTTCGTTACATTTAAAACGAAATTTTAAGTAGTTAGCAGGCACAGGAGTTTTGGCGTCAATTGACTTTTTGCAATATTCCTCTTTCACTTATTAGGTTAACTTTTCTTCCATCGCGATTTAACTTCTTCTTTTATCTCTTTTTTTATTCTCCTCATAGTCCGTTTCTGCATCTAAATCGGTAACCGGATCATAATCTTTGTCCTTCACCAAACAGTCAGAATCCTTAATCAACCCATCTATTTCCTGAGTCTTGCGTTTGTCATTTGAATTCCACTCTGATAACACCACATGCAGACATTTTCGTTTGTTAATAAGTACAAGAAAACCGCCTCGGGTACACACTGACAATAATGTTTATAATGCAGTTTGATAATATACTTTCTCTTACCCAAATCAAAAAGAGACTAGAGTATAGAGGTAAACAACTCGAAAAGCAATGAATTTCTAAATCGAAAGTGTATGTATCTGTCGGTTCCTCCTTCAGTGCTCCGGTGTACGGTATCTCTCTTTTATCTTTCCCTCTCATTGACTCTGGGCAAATTTATTTGCCAATCCATAGCTCAGTTTTACAATAACTCCCAAGATATTAGTTAAATCAGATTGTATGGTATAAATTGTATGAAATGCTTACAGTACCTAACATGTATGATTTGATAAGGATTAATATCGAATCCATTAAATAATACATGTACAATCTGGATTAAATGGACCAAAATAGTATAATTATTTTTTTGTTTCAATCAGAAAAAATTGCGTGATATTCGCCGGGACCCCCCCTCTCTCCAACGTAAGTTTAGATGAGATTTGACTCGACCCCCTCCCCCCCTTAAACACCTCACGTAATTTATGGACGCCCCCTAGCTTATATTTGTGGAGTGAAACAAGGAGGGTGTTGACCCTATAGTGAAAAAAACCCAATATACAATACTAGCAATTTTTTTGTTACAGAAAGACCAAACTTGTTTGTTACGATTTGTACAGAACAATATTTACATCTCAATTATAATAATTTGGCCAGAGTTTGGTATAATAATCTAACAGAGTTTCTCAACCCAAACCTTCAATTTTGATTTCAGGTAATCCTATTGATGGCAAAGGTCCTTTAAACACTAAACAACGTTTCCGAGTTGGTATTAAAGCCCCTGGTATAATTCCCCGTATTTCTGTAAGAGAACCTATGCAGTCTGGAATAAAAGCTGTTGATTCACTTGTTCCTATTGGTCGTGGACAACGTGAATTGATAATTGGTGATCGTCAAACTGGGTATGTTATTTATAAAAATTACATTTAAACATATATTGACATAATCCTATGATTCTCAGACTCAAATATATTGCAATTGACCAAAATAATTTCAGCATATGTCTCTCCATAAAAATTATTAAAAGATGAAACTGGAACCTCTGGTATAGAATAAATCCAAAACAAGCACCTTTCTCAAACACCAAAAATGAAAGACTTTTAGTCTCGCGTTTCACCAACCAAGCTGGCGTTTTCAAGAGATGGACAAGTGCTTGAGTGAATTCTTGTTTTGGACATAATTTTTTTTTCTATCACTGTTTCTACCTCACAAAATATTTCATGATTATCAATAGATTTTTATTATTAGTTGAAGTTTATTGAGACTTTTCCCATATTTTTACAGGAAAACAGCTCTAGCTATTGACACGATAATCAACCAAAAACGATTCAATGATGCAGATGATGAAAAGAAGAAGTTGTATTGCATTTATGTTGCTGTAGGTCAAAAAAGATCAACAGTTGCACAGATTCTAAAGCGTTTAACTGATACTGGAGCTATAAACTATACAATTATTGTATCTGCTACAGCTTCAGATGCTGCACCTTTGCAATACTTGGCCCCATATTCTGGATGTGCTATGGGTGAATACTTTAGAGATAATGGAAAACATGCACTTATCATATATGATGATTTGTCGAAACAAGCTGTTGCGTATCGTCAGGTAAGTAATGGTCTGAAACCAAGTAGGAACTGAATTTCAAAAGAAAGTGATATGTCAAAACCTAAATTTTAAGATTAAATTTGATGATGTAAATGAAACAAAAATTATAAAATTGGAAAATCATACAATCAGCTTCAATGAAGTAGTAGCAGTAGTGCTTCTTGACAATGCATATGATGCAGAGATGGCAAAAGTTTTGAAAATATTGAATTGAGCAATACCTTGGAAAAACTAGCAGGAATTCTTGGTGGTGTCAAGCGGTTCGATGAATATCTGACAGAGAGATGAATATGTGAGTATGGGTGAATTCGTTCTTTAAGATCATATATAATGACATAGAATTTCTCTAATGTGAGTTCGTAAATTATTGAATGGTTTAATACCCATATAAAAAGGTCTTGATTCGGAGCTAGGCAGCCTGTCAATTGGTATACAGGGTGTCCCTGGACTTCCTCTTTTCCTCTCGGGAATGTATAGATGGGGTCAAAATATCACCAGTACTTCATATAACTTTTTTTCCTAAAATCCTTCGTTACCAAGTAACGGGCCCTCGAAGTTACAAAATGAAAAATGTTTTTCTTTGATAACTTTTCAAGTGAATATTCAAAATCATCCAAATTTTGG